TGATTTAGTGGGTTTCATATACATAAATGAAATCAACATGAAGATACGAGACGATATCGAAGTTGACGAGGTGTGTCCCTAGTACTTATACTCGCTTCGTTTTTATTTACTCCGCATATTAGCTTTGACATAAGTCAAACTTCATAAAGTTTGACCAAGTTTATCAAAAACAATCTAAACTTTCACAATAACAAATATATATGGTATGAAAATTTATTGAATGATGATTCTAATGGTATTGATTTAGTACCATGGATGTGAATTATTTTTTTGTGTAAACTTGGTCAAAGTTTACAAAGTTTGACTCGAGACAAAGCTAATATGCGCAATGAATAAAAACGAAGGGAGTACATGCCATGTAGACAAACATGGATTTTATGATGATAGAATTTGGTCACAGTGGGCCAATAAATGTGATCATAAACAATGCTACATATTTGTATGGCCATCCCATGCAATGAAATTATGACCTTTTGGCATGGATTTTTATAAGGTTATATGGTTTGGACCAGGGTGGACCCAGAGAGAAGATAACCCGGTGTGATTAGTTTGGTGGCTTATTAGGTCGTGGCCTATAAGTGATCAAATAAATTGATAATGGGAAGATAGGATGGGCCTTTTATATCCGGATAGACATGTGACACATAATATAAAAGTTTCACCTTATTATAAAGGGGACTCCTTTCACTGGAGCTCACTTATGCAGTCACCGCGAGTGCGAGATGACCGCACCTCTCGGAGGCGCTTTTCCGTTGCAAAATTTTCAAAATTCTAAAAGTCACATTTTTCAAACTCAAAATTGCAAAAGTCCATAAACTTGAAAGTTCCAATTTCAAATTAATGAATGATCAAATTGTAGAAGTTGGTATTATGGAAGTTCAAAACCTTGGAAGTTTCAAAAAAATCTCAAATTTTCAAATTCTGGAAGTTTGCCCATAATTTTTGAAACATGGTATTATAATACTAGAAAGTCCCCCAAAAGGGAATTGCCAAAATAGGAATTTCCCCAAAAGTAAAAAAGTTAGAAGTCAATCAAGTGTGGCAAAGGGCGTGGGTGACCGCCAAGTAGCCATCCCGGTGGAGTGGTTAGCTCCTTCCAAGGAACTTACGACTTCTTCTGTTAGAATGACAATTAGGCTAGACGTGTCGGACCCACTTGTTTGTTGTCATATAAATTATTATGAGCCACACAATGTTTTTAGACCCACACCTCAAATGGGGTCCTACTTGGCATTGGGCGAGTTTTGCTCGTTAGTACCTTTTACACTTAGTCGGTTTCAAATACATAGACAAAACTTGCACGTAGACACACCAATTATGCCCGACGTATTGATCTCATATTTTGTTGTCTCCTCTGTCATTGCGGGTGTTGAACCCACACCGCGGATGGATGGATGTGTCCCACCTAATAGTGAGTTATACAATTGGTGGGTTTCGAATATGTAGACAAGATAATTAGGCCAGTGAGTGGGTCCCACATGTTAGTTGTCCCTACAATGTTGTGAATCCCACCTAGCCATTGGACCCACACTCGGTTGTGGGTCACCCCAGTCAGTGGGTGGATCCAACCCATCAATGATTTAGTGGGTTTCAGATACATAAATGAAATCAACATGAAGATACGAGACGATATCGAAGTTGACGAGGTGTGTCCCTAGTACTTATACTCCCTTCGTTTTTATTTACTCCGCATATTAGCTTTGACGTAAGTCAAACTTCATAAAGTTTGACCAAGTTTATCAAAAACAATCTAAACTTTCACAATAAAAAATATATATGGTATGAAAATTTATTGAATGATGATTCTAATAGTATTGATTTAGTACCATGGATGTGAATTATTTTTTTGTGTAAACTTTTTCAAAGTTTACAAAGTTTGACTCGAGACAAAGCTAATACGCGAAATGATTAAAAATGAAGGGGGTACATGCCATGTAGACAACATGGATTTTATGATGATAGAATTTGGTCATAGTAGGCCAATAAATGTGATCATAAACAATGCTACATATTTGTATGGCCATCCCATGCAATGAAATTATGTCCTTTTGGTATGGATTTCTATAAAGTTATATGGTTTGGACCAGGGTGGACCCGGAGAGAAGATAACCCGGTGTCCCTGTGTAAAATCCCACATACTTTACATCCAAAAACAAGGTGTCACACACTATACTATACACAAAATTACCAAGAAAACAATTTTGCACCTGGTGTCCTGTGCACCCAGTAGGCTGAATGTGGATTCGCCCCTGGTTTGGACCATCCCATACTCAATAACCATACTGTAAAAAAAATCATAGATTTATGACTAATTCAACGACTCTCATTACTTATTTTTTCTTCATTAATGGGCATATTTCTTGTAGTTTCAAAATTGTGATGACATTGACAAAGTATGATGGTGAGGAACATGAAAGTGCAGTGAAAAGAAACACGGATACCATGACACAAATGAAGGCACACGAGCCTGAGCGAAATGCTGATATATGCTTTGCTTGGTCTGTGCTATCTTGTCTAAAACCACAAGATGTTTTGGGTGCTCATGTGATATTGTGTACTAGATCTTTTTATTTTTCTTTGTTTTCTTTATTTTACTATAATCCAACTAAAGATGTATTCTTCTAAGAGTGTATATCAAGAAAACATTGTTTTCATATTGTAGGTAATCCAAAATATTTCTCTTCAAAAAGTTGTGTTTGTAACACCAAGGACTTGTTTGATACCCACCTAGGTCTCCTAAGGGCACTTCTCACTAAAATGGATTAAGCACTTGCTTGTACTTAGAAGTTGACTTATGCCACTCTAAATTATTTCGAGCTCGACCATTCCTTGCCTCCTTCACTGAAGCTTTGAAAAATAAGAAACTGTCATTGGAAAATAAAATGTGTGAAATATTAGGGCTTCTATGAGCAATCTTGAGTAGGGTTAGGGCGGGCTGCATAACCTGCCTATTCATGATACAACATATCACATATGTCACCAAAATGAAAAGAAATGGGCTTAGGGGATCGATGTGCCTGAGTCCTTGAGAAGGCCTGGCAAAATCTAAATTTACAAGACACAGAATACCATATTTATTTCACACAACTCATTACCTTCGATGTCCAATGGTAATCAAACCCATATTTCAGTAGAGCACCTTCCAAGAAGGACCAGTTTATGCAGTCGTATGCTTTAGCTAAATCCAGTTTGTAAGCACAATGTGTGCCCTGCTGCTGTCTACTTTGCTGGAGTCTGCATAAGAATTCAAATTTGATGATTGCGTTATCAGTGATAAGCCTACTAATAATAAATACACTTTGGGCTTCATATCGGAACCACCTTGTACATAACGTTATAAAGGCTTGTAGGACAAAAGTATTTCAGTTTCTCCGATGATTTTTCTTTTGGTATTAGGACAATAACTATGTTGTTGACACCATCTGGCATTATCCTAGTCCGGAAGAACTCTTTAACTACCTTGATGACATCAAGCTTTGACAGTCCAGGTCCTTTGGAGAAACCACACCGAAACACCGTCATTGCCGCGACCTTTGACTACATACAATTTTGAAACAAGACATTAGTTTAGATAACATATTGACTAGCTTGCTTTAATAAAACAATGAATGATAGGATATGCGAGAGGAAAAAGAAAAACAAGTGAATATATATGAATTACTTTAAGATCAAACAACGTATGTCATTTTGTGGGGAAATTTCTGACATGTCCGCAACATACAAAATTTCCTTTCCATTCACTTCTCTGTAGAAAAAATCCATTTCATTTTACTAAGTTGAACTCAGACCAAAATATTTTTAGTGTTTTTATAGGTAAACTATAAAGAAATGATTTTGTTCTATTACCCATTTGGTACATTCAAACGCTGAAAAACTTTCATAGCAAAAACTCACATGAAACTACAAAATTATGTAATATTCTGTTGTCATGTGTGCCCTTTTATGTAAACTAACTACTCTGTGGTAGTATGCTTAGTTTTAAGTCACCAATCCTATATACTCCCTCCGTCTAGGTGAGTAAGTCATCTTAGGTTGTGCACCGTGACCAAGGAGGAGGGGAAAACGAGAGACATTCACCATAGTACCTAAGAGAGTCATCCACACTAACTTATTTATCTCAACATACAAGCATGTCACCTCACCATAGAACTATAAACGAGATAAGGCCCGCCTCAACCTCAACATGCAATCATTTATGGAAAAAGACCCACCAGTGCATTCAATCATGCATGGGAAAGTGTTTTCCATTCGATTATTCTACTCATATTCAATTAATATTGTTACAACTATATATAAATATAATGATCATATGTATTTTTATTTTTTGTTATGTTATCAACCAGTTCCCGACGCGGGGTATTCTCTAGTTAAATATCAAAAAAAATGTGGTACACTATGAAAACCCAAGCAAAATAATGCCCCCAGTCAAGACAGGACTCGACAACGCAATACACATTTAAAATACAAACGATTCAACGTTGCGACAACTCAGATAAATATGCTGCATGTCATGGCGCGAAACTTGCCACAGTAGTTCTTTTAACAGAACAACTCTGGAAAAGGGGCTTTGTGATTAGAGTTCGAGTCAAAAAAAAGAAAATAGATTAGAGTGGTGAAGTAGTAGTATGTAGATCGGAACTGATGTGCGAACGACACAGCCTTGCACGACAGCAGGACGATGCCCGATCCAGCCGTCGACTTCACTTTACTAATATGCGTAGACGGACTGATATAGGCTGTCGTTCACACATCGTCTGAACATCATCGTGTGCATAGCAGCACTATGTAGATGCTGCAACCTGTTCATGTGTCTATGGAAGAAGGCGCCCACGCTGACAAAGTAGTATTTATTACGTCCATGATACATGTAGCACATCAAGGAACGAAAAATACAAGAAAATGAACTGGAGATAAATACAGACGCTCATCAAGGAAGGAACATGGACATGAGCGCAACGCCGATGTTTGTCCCTTCGGACAGTGCGTACAGGTAGAGATAATCAAGGGTGAGCAGGGGTCGCCGGAAGCGCCACCACCGGGCCGGTAATTGTACTGGTACCGGTAATGGTTCCCACCAGCGGGAGCGTCGGGAGTGTGGGGAGCGTCGGGAGCGTCGGGAGTGTGGGGAGCGTCGGGGCCGTGGGGAGCGTCGGGAGCGTCGGGGCCGTGGGGAGCGTCACAGCTGGCAAGTCCGGCAACCCCATCGCCTTGGACTCGCCGACGCCGGCACCGTGTGTCGCTGCAACCTTCTCGTTCAGTTCCCTCCCGTCGCAGGACGCGAGCACCGCCAGTAGCAGGAGCGCGGCGGCGAGACACTTTGCCATTGCTAACTTGGGGGCTCTGGTAATTCTACTGAGGAGTATAGCTTGTGTGGCTGTGTTCGAGTGAGGTTAGGCTTAGCATTGTGTACGCTGCCTCTTATAGGCGAGCTGCACGGGGTGGCAGGGTGGCCGTGCGTCGTCCGCTCAGGAGAGGAGAGGATAGAATAGGTAGAGTGCGACATGCAAAATTGCTGGCCCGTCCTTCTCTCAGGTCACGGGCGGCAGAGAGGCATTCAGGTATGGCGGCATGTCAACGTCGGTGGATTGGAATGGGGCGGATGGAATTATTGTCCGCGAATCCGTCGAGCCTCTTTTCATCGCAGTCGAGAAGGCCAACTAGTTAGTCGAGGTGAGTCAATTGGTTTACTGTTCTTCGGTAGATTAGATATTTCCTTTCCCGATCAAGGATGGGAAATGCGAGCTGCTCAATACAGATGCAAGATCTAGTTTTTCCCTTCCAATTTTGTGCGATGATTTTAGGATCTTTGTTATCCCCCAAGTGGTGGTGAAGAGAGCCTCTGACTGGTACGTTTCGTTCCATCTTTGTCCATTTCTGACAAGTACTCTGCACTCCATTTAAGACTTGGTTTACCTGCCGAGAAGGGCATCCACAGCGTGCCAAATACCAAATTGACTATGTAAATTATGCTTGGCATGGGTGTCAAATTTACGATCTTTCATAAGCTTATGTGGTGCCAAATTGTTCTCACAAGTAGGACCTTGTGCACATTGATTATACATATAAACAATCTTTTCATATTCATTTACGTATGGCGCGAGAAGAAAGAGGTTAGAGGGGTGCATCCAGATGGAGTATCTTTTTTAGAGTGCAAAACTTGTATATTGCTGTTACAATCATAATGCTGTTACAATCAGCCAAAGCTAGCTCAACAGCATCTGGACTTCTAAAGACCAAAAACCGAACCAAGTCATGGTTCTACCTTTCAATCAAGCAAACTTAGCTAAACCCTAACTTTATTGTAGGTGATGACTAACATGAGTAATAAAAAATTCACGGGGAGGCCTAAGATGTCTGAGTTCCTTCACAAGAGAATAATGGATCGATTTGTCAAGATCCAGCAACTAAGCAGTCCATCTCAATGATGATAGGCGAGTCGCTGCGCTAGAGAGCCAAAGGTAACCCTTCCATGCAAGCACAAAGTTCCGCTTCTAGAGCTTCACGACGAGAGAGCAATTGCCTGCAGAGTCTCAGGCCTCTTTGATCATGTCAGGTAGAGCTGCATCCCTCTCCCAAAGCACCTCATACCTCCAAGATATAGGTCCTACTCTACTCTAATCCAGAGATCCTTTGAGAACACGGCCACATGATCAGAGAACGGCAACGCCACGTGCTGGACATAGCAAAACACAAACATGTTTCGCCACGAAGTAGAAGCAACCGTCTGCTTTAAACGAACATTCATGTTATATTCACAGCCCACTGCGCGTATTATCGTATACGGAAGGAACCACGGTGAAACCTAGGTCTACCGCCTGATACACCTCTAGGGTATCTCTGAAGGCAACCATCTAAGGTTCTGGACGAGGAGTGGCCGACATATGCTCAAAATCCCATAAGGCTTCGTAAATCTTCGATCTCTAACCAAGGTAAGTCTGGAACCAACTTTAGGGCTTGTAATTTTGGCCACATAATATGACAATTTTTAACTCTCGGTTCCCTGTATACGCAGGTTATTCTCCATTACTCTTCCCCTACATGCACTCTAACTGTCGCATCGATCTAATGGTCGTCTTTATCAAGAATATCAACCACAAAACTTCCATGCCAAAAGAGAGCAAGCCCTTCGCTTAAAAGCCATTACCATCAGCTGCAGTAAAACCTCTGAGGCCTAGTGTAACACCCCAGCCACATCCACTGGTTCCTAGCCATTACGCCTAGCGGGATCCTGACTGGCCTGGCAAACCAACACTAGTCTTTTTTACGCACTTTTTCCTCACTCGTGCGCATCTGGGACCAACTTCTCAATTGGTGACCCATCCTCAAATTGCTCCAAACCAAGCACGCTTAACTTCGGTGTTCTTTGTGAATGGCCTCCCGAAAAAGAAGGAATTTCTTGTTGATATGAGTGGTCTATCATTCCTATTAAGCCGCTCTCACATAAACATCCACTCAAAGGAGCCGACGTCCTCATCGGCCCAACAGGAATGTTCCCGTTCAGTACACGTTTGTGTGTCCAGTTCGGCACATGTGACATGACGTGAGCCACAATGGGCCACATGTGCCATGTGCCACATGCCCGCGCACACATCCGTGTAACCGCGATGGTTGGCTGTGGTACCAATTGTAACCCCCCGGGCCACATCCACCAGTTCCTGGCCAGTATGGCTGGCGCTATCTAGACTGGTCCCATAGACCAACACTAGTCTTTTCTGTGCACTTTGTCCTTAGTTGTGCACACTCAGGACCAATTTCTCAGTCGCTCACCCATCTTCAAATCGCTCCAAGCGAAGCCAAGCGCGTGTAAGTTTGGAGTTCTTTGCGAATGGGCTCCTAGAAAAGAAGGAATTCCTTGTTGATATGTGTAGTCTATCATTCGTACTAAGCCAGGATCTCACACCTAGATGACCCCCAATCCTTCTCACATTTTCCTCCTTCTGCCTAGTTTCACACAAAAAGACCATCGTGGGGGAATGCATCTGCACCATAACCGTTAAGTCTCAAGCTGTCCGGGATTCACCCCCCTCCCCAATAATTCCAACTAATGAGATTCACTGATCCCGGTGACACTCCTCGCAGGAGCTCGTCGATGAGTTGTTCTTTGATTTAGTTTGCGAGACAGTGGGGCCACCATTCACCCCCCCCCCCCAATCCTAGACCTCTTTGCATCATGCTCCGAGGGAGGGATGGCAGGACTACTAGTATAACCAGTTAACGAGAGTTGATCACAACGAGTACAAGGATTAACTCTTTGGGGTCACCGCCAAGACCATCCATACCTTGTTTCCTATTAGGATCCAAGACATCAATGCCTGAATTATTTTCATTAAGTTTTCACCATCCATATCACTCTCCTCCCCTTCTTGCAAAGGGGAATGATCTATGTTCATACCACCACCACTATCCTGGTTTTGGCCTCTACCTAACCTCCCTCGCGTCTATTCCAAGAATCATGGGGGTTCTGAAACTCCAGTGCAGAGGGAGGATGCACACCATCGTCATGCTTGCTATAAAGATGACCAATTGTTCTTCAAACCGCACACCAATCCAGGGGCCTCTCATACTTAACTTTAAAGATTGTCTTTTCTTTTCCGCCATAATCGATAAAAGATTTTTTTAGGAGATTTCTTACATCTAAAATCCCCTTAACTCTAAAAAATACCCGCGAAGTCACCTGGTCCTTTCTCCTCGGCATAGAACTCGCCCACTTTAGCCGCAAGGGGCTTAACTAGGGGACCAAAGTCATCCAACAAATCATGGAATTATATCCATAAGTTGAAGGTGTTCAGACAGATCAAGGACCGCTTAGTAAAGCAGCCACTGTCATACGGTGCCAGCAAAATAGGATTACCCCGAAAGGTTTAAGGGCCTCTCTCCATGACCTTATCCCAATCCCCAAGACATGAAAACTGCATTGTGTACAAGTTGTCCCCCAAAGATCGAAACTTCAGTGTTCCTCGTGTTCTTGTAAAACTGAAAATCCCCATACTCATGTGATGTATAAACCCTGCTGACGCAAGCCATCGGGTCACCATTGTTGGATCATGCAGAGCATCCTCATACACCAGATCATCCAACTCATGTTCTCTATTGTTTCATCATTTCTTCCATCTCCTTATTCATCCCTGAAGATGATGTTGATTTGATGGTCTCCATTAAAACCAAGTCCACACGCAAACCTTGGCAGAGTCCCACCACCAAACCCTAAGACCCCACCCCTGCTAAGGGTGGGTAGCAATCCAAGGTTTGCCCCATAGTCAGCCTGGTGAGGAAGACTAGGACGGAGTAGCGAGGGAGAGAAATGATATCTACATCGATGACACCGTCGACGAGAGAAGGGAACCCTAGCGAAAGGAGACAAGATGCAAATTTAGATGGAGAATTTTGGCGGAGTTTGGCATCCGGGTAAATAGTTGCTCTGGTTCCCAATCTTTGAGATTTGGCAATGCCTCATGACATATCTAGCATCGGTGCCAAAGACAGATTTCACACTTGCAACACTATTGGCCCACCTTGTGGGTGCTCTAAGACTCTAAGTGCAATATCATATATGGAAAGTTTGACAATGGTATGATGTGTGTTCGGGAGTAGGGACATGTGCCTGTTATATAAAACAAGAGATTTAATTTACTGGTGCAGTTGGTTCGATGTAGACTTGATTCTCAAGGTATCTATACGAAGGGGAGAATTAATCTTTATCCATACCAAACCTTATTACAACAACCATACCAAAAAAAACTATACACATGCAACATGAATATTCAAGCACTCAGTTACAATTTATGTAAGTTGACATTGCACTGCTTCTTGTTGCCTTACCACCAAGGGCTTTGTAAATCCATCTGCAACCCAATAACTTATGGGCTACTCTTTCTTAGATAAAATGATATTCCACTTCAATGCGCTCAATTCTAGGATAAAGTACATGATTTGTTGATAGGTATGTTGCACTAGATTGTCACACCATAATTTTTTTTATTTGGTTGACATCAAGTTCTCATAATAGCTAATGCACCTTCATCACTTTAGCGGTTGCATTAGCCAGATCTTGTACTTTACTTTGGGGCTGAACCTTGGTATCATGGGTTGTTTTATTGCACTCCATGAAACAAGATTACCAAAAAAAAGAAACCTTCAGTATATTTTGTATCATTATAACAGCCTGCCCAATCAGCATTAGATAAGTTACATAAAATAGATGATTCCGGCTTCAAAGTTTCAAGCCCAATAGAAGAAGTATATCTGAGATATCTAATTATTCTATTTATTTGTGTCAATGCACAGTTGTAGGAGCACGTAGAAATTGATAAATTTTATGGACTAA